ACTGTTCAGTTATTACGCGCCCGTTTTAATTGAATTGCACACTGCCAGGACTTGAAATTGAACTCACACTTACTATTTTAGGAATTTCTAAAACCAACGCTCTCAGCCACCAGGCGATAGTCCCATTGTGATGAGGACAATGGTTCGAATGTGAATAGTGATAAATTCTCATACCAGAAATTCATCGAAAAATATGTGTTGATTTTAAATAAACCACAAAGGGTTTTTTTTTTAAATCATTTCACACCAACCAAGGCAACAAAGCTACTAAGACGCAACTTGTTACCGAGTGTTAGATACTATGAGAAATCAAAAAAAAAACTACTATTAAAGAGAGAGGACAATAAAAAAAAAAAATAAGAAAACAGAACATAACGATTAACATTGCATTTAATTTTTTGTTGATCAAAGTTGACTGGGAAGCAGGAAGCCGGTATAGATTTCTGTAAGCGAGAAGTGCGATAGAAGAAACTCTTAGCATAGAACTTACGGTTACATCTGCCATTTCAACTATAAATTAGTGAGACCAAATCGCCAATCTAGTACTCCGCTTGAATTCATAAAGTCTAGATACCATAGCGGAAAGTTCATCAGAACAATTACTATGGAATTAAGTATAGAAACGGCACATGGAAGCTACGTTACGGCGGTGCGAAAAGAACTGAAGCCGAGATGCCAGGGGAGGACCAAAATCATTGCAGATTTCTCATTGGATTTTATCAAGAATTCTCTAAATATATAGCAGGATCAAAGAACAGATGGAACAGCAATATTCAAAGTAAGGCCGAATAGATAGATTGTGATGAGAAAAATTGTCTTGCACGACATATTAAATTAATTTTCTTAGCTGCAGACTTAGCATTATATTCTTTCCACTACAAGTCAGCTGAAAACCTTAGCCCAAGAATGAGACGCAACGTGTCACTCTCTTTGAGTTTAGCATCAGCCATGCTGATGGAAGGTAAAAAGAATTCTCTCGGAAGATTGAAAGAGAGCAGTTTAGTTTTTGTAGCGTTAAAATTATCAAGACACTTTGCCTCATTTAAAAACAGATTGTAGGTCATTTTTTAAAGATCAGTTGCCAATTTCGTCTAATCAAATCATTTATTATTAAGACAGGAGTAAATAGTTGTGCTATCAGCATAGATACCGAGTTTAGAAATGATGACATCAGGAAAGCACTTGATGAAAATAGGGAACTTCGTAGGTTCAGAGATAGAGCCTCTTACCGCTTAAACTTACACACCAAACACCTTTAGTAAACCTCTACCTCGTGTGGCTTTTGTGTCATTTATAAGGTGAACGTTAGCTTAAAAATAAACGGCCTTATGTAGGTGGTTCTGGTTTTAAAATACAAATCGGTAAACACTTGACAATGTCACAGATAAAAGAAATAGCAGCAGCTGCATTATTAGGTTGATTTCTTTATCGTGAACAAAAAAAAATAGTGGTCGACTTGAGAGATAGGCGGGTACTTTTTCAACCAATTAGAATTACAATACTGATTGATCGATTGAGTTATCTAAACGTAACGATAACCTCTCATCAAAACAACATATTTTTCGTCGTATTAAATCGACAAGAGTTAGTCTTTTCAGGCTTAGGAGATGTTTGTAGCATACGCGCTGATTCCTTAAGTTTTCGTATTTTCCAGTGATGTTCTCTGTCTATTATTTCAACCTTATCCCACAGGTGGCGGTTATCTCCCTTTTACGGTGTTCCTGCAGCCTTATCTTAACGGGACGGCTTATTTCTCCTTCATATTTCGTACCACAGCTGCATGCGATGGCGTACACACAGTGCTTAATCACGTTCTCTATAGGCGGTCTTACTCGGAAAAGGTGTCTGCGAAGTGTTGAACCAGTTTTGAAGGTCGTCCTTGTGTTATATAGAGC